TTGTTGGCGCTTTGCAGTACCTGACGGTCACTCGACCGGAGCTGCTATTCGATGTGCAGAAGGTGTGCCTTCATATGCACTCACCTCGTGATGTTCACTGGACCTCGGTGAAACGAATTCTCCGCTACGTTCGTGGTACTATGGATCTTGGCCTCTCAGCCCCACACATCGACAACTATGGAAATCATGGCATACTCCAATGCAGACTGGTTCGGCTGCCTCGACAAACGGTTTTCCACCTTGCATACTTTGTCTACCTTGGACGATCACTTATCTCTTGGTCATCCAAGTGGCAGCCCATGGTTTCTCGGTCCATTACTGAGGCTGAGTATCGCACAGTGGCTAACGCAGTTACTAAAACTCCTGGTTCGGCAACGTCTGTTCGAGTACTCTTGTCCTATCGACACGGCCACCATGGTGTATTGCGACAACGTCTCCGCCATCTACCCCGTTCATCATTGGTGCACCAAAGATATTGAGCTGGATATCCACTTCTTTCACGACGAGGTGGCTCTTTGTCACGCTCAAGTTCTTCACATGCCTACCTCCCAGCAGTTTGCGGATATCATGACGAAGGGGTTGCCAATGTAAATTTTTGAGGAGTTTCTGTCAAGGTTGTGCATCAATTCCGATGCTTTGACTGCGGGGGGTGTTGAGCGCCCTATGTACACGTCTATACACATGTACTCTAATCTCCATCCATCTCATTTGGGTTGTCTTGGACGTGATGATCTTCGTGTACATCTATACTTTGGCACTAGATGCTCGTGAATACATAGGTGTTGCATCCAATTGTCTCTCTACGCACATCACGCCACTTCCTGCATCTGAACTAATGCTCGACCACAACCAACATCCACACTTGACGACGAATGAGGCAAATCTACGAGTTAGCAAGGAGACAACACGTAATGGCCGCCGCAGAGATCCCCAGTAATGTTCGTGGCCCGACACTCCTGTTTGTAGCTAGTGAGCATGGATCTAGCACCCGTGCCTTGGCTGGCCCTCCCAACCTTGAGCAGGGACGACGGCCGAGGATGGAGTCTCCGTCCCTACCCAGTGCACACAACACCGTTGGGAAAAGTGGTGCCATGTCCAGGACCTGACCTCCACCATTGTCTCCTAGGTAAGAT